AGAGAGAGAGAGAGAGAGAGAGAGAGAGAGAGAGAGAGAGAGAGAGAGAGAGAGAGAGAGAGAGAGAGATTTAATTGCTCCCTTGATCCCATTTGCAATTCCCCTGCGCTCCACCCACTGCCCTTCCCCTCTTCTTCAATCTCATGTCACTTCTCCCTCTCCAATCACATGGACCCCTCTCCTCCCCCCAACCCATTCCTTGCCCAGTGTCTGGGACCCACTCCTCTCTCCCAATCATGCCCCTCTCCCCCATCCTCCTGCCCCTTCCACAACCCATTCCCAATGCCAATCCAGAGAGAGGGAGAGAGAGAGATCTCATTCCTTCGCTCACTGTATTCATGATCCCTCCCCTCTCCTTCCTAATTTTCAATCCGTCTCCCGCTCCCCTCCCGCGCACATCCCTCACTCACCTCATCTCGCTCCTCTCCCCAGTCCTTATCCTGATGGACTCGGATGAATAAAACAATGTCAGGGGCTAACCCCCTTCCGAAAAAAAGGAAATTGAAGAAACCCATCATAAAAAAAAACATCCACCATTGATCACAGTTGCATCTGCGAAGATCTCAAGCTGCACAGAGAGAGACCACTCTACCCCCCTGACCACACCATGCTACTCTTCCATTCCTCCATTCTGCTCCACAAGACTTGGTCTCACGTCCTTGGACCAGATTCTCCTCCTGTTTCACTCCCCTCTTCTCCCCGATGCTCATTCGATCCATCCTGATCCCAATTCAGATACACCCCAACTCCCCTCCCCTCCTCTTTGATCCCACACGCTTTCTTTTACCTTTCGGTTACATCATCCTGTTCTGCAGCACGTCAATGTAACTATGACTAAGCTTTCCTCTGGACCATGTGCAAGATTTCCAAGCACGCGGGTACTCAATCGGTTTGGCAAGACTGCTCACTGTTTCCCTTCCATTTTCATTCACTCTGACCACTCGGATGCCACACTCCGTGTTGGCACAGTGAAAAAAGCAGAAGTTGAAGCTGTTCCCAAATTTTTGTGGTAGAGGTAACTTCGTAGCACTTAGGATCACCTATAATGGTTAAGGGCATGGTTGCATCCCTGCCGACCGCCGACCGTATTGCAGCCGACGAGCAGGGCCGACCGGTCGGCGGTCTGCCGACCAGTCAGAAAACAACCATCCACTATTTTTTTTTCAGATCTGAGTTGGAAGCTGTACTGCGCTTGCTGAGTACAGCCCAAATCCGCTGAGAAAATTTGGGGATGGGGGGGTTGGGGGAGGGGTGTATAGGGGAATATAGAAGGTATAGGGGTGGTATAGGGGGTACTGGAGGGGGGTATGAGGGTGTTGGGGGGCGGTTTGTGGGTGTTAGGGGGGTGTATGGGGGTATTTGGGGTTGGTATGGGGGGGGGTCATGGGGTTATCAGGGGTTCCGTGCCGACGACCCCCGACCAGTAGGTGCCGACCAGTCAAAGGTCGCCGACGGTCGGGGTGTGCAACACTGGTTAAGGGTCGAAATAATTGGAGTTACAGTCAACAACCCAATAATAATAAGAAACAAATGAGATTGAACAGGAGCTTCGTCCTTTTGCACACCCGTTAAAATTGGAAGCATACAGATTGAGAAATGGTCCAAATT